AGAATGAAAGAAGAGCCACATTTTTAATAGCCCTGACTAATTTCTTGAAAAAATTCTGGAACATATTATCAAAGGGGCATTTAGAAGATGAACCAATAACTAGCATAACCACATTCAGAACAGTTCATGCCAAATTATCCTCAAATTCATTTTTGGACAATGTAACTAGGTAAGGGGTCTGCTTTAGGCAATATACCTAAATTTCAACAAAGAATTTAACAAAATCTCTTATCTATTTGTGAAAATGGTGTAGAGATATAATGCCAGTGGAAGGCTCCAAAACATTTCCTTTAAACCCTTACTAGAATTCAGTCTTATTTCTAAAATATGCTGAAAGATAAAATCCCCTAGCTGGTTAGATCTGAAACTCAAAGAAGGATTATTAATGGGTCAGTGTTAACTTAGGTTCTTTCCCAGGGAATTATCTTTTGTCCTGTATCCTGCTACGTCATCATCAATGATTTGGATTGTCACATATAACATACTTATCTATTGGCAGATAATACAAAAATAAAAGTGATGGTCAATGTTTTGAATGTCAAGAGTCAGTGTCTAAAAAGATCTTGACAGGCTAAAACAGCTAACTAAATCTAATGAGATAAAATTTGAGATGTGGAGGGAGGGAAGCAAAATCCTACACTTGTGTTCAAAAAGTGAACTTCAAGCTCAATATGATCAACTTGTGTGACACAATAGCCAAAAACTCTACCTGAGGCTACATTAAGTGAAGAATTGTATCTAAAACAAGGGTGGTGATAATCCCGCTGTACTTTTCCTTGTTGAGGTCACAAATTCTATTCATTTCTTGGCACCAAATTTTAGAAAAAAAACTTTCATAAATTGTACTGCATGTGGAAAAGCGAGGCCAATTGAGATTGGAGACCATAACATATAATGATCTATTCAAGGAACTGGGGTTCTTCAAAGTGGAAAACATATGATTGGGGGAGTGTGAATGACAGCTATCTTCAAGTTTTCAAAGGGCTGCCATATGGAGCAGAGATTGAATTTGTTCTGGTTGGCTCTGGACAGCAGAACTGAGTGATGCAAAAAAGTTGAGGCTAGATAAAAGGGGGGGGGAAGTCTGAAATCATTATATAAATATTTTTAATTATTTTTATTATTAGCATATCAATTATAATTGATCCAAAAGTGCAAATTATTGCCTTGTAAGGTTGTAGAGTTTTCTGCTCTCTCTTCACTGGAGGTCATTGAGTAAAGGCTGGATAATCACACATTAGGGATATTATAGAGGGAATTCCTATTTAGGCACTGTTTAGACTAGGTAGCCATTGAAGTCCCTTCCATCTCTTAGATACCATGATTCTGTCAATGAGGCTGAGGCTGAGAAATAGTTAGTAGTCTAGTTTGACTGGAACACAGTATGTGAAAAAGAGAGACATGTGAAAAAGGGTTGAAAAATGAAGTCAGAGAGAGAAGATCTTTAAATTCCAGGCTATTTCTTTTTTTTTCCCCTTATGACCAAGAGGGAGCCCACTGGAAGTTTTTGCATAGAGGAGAGACAGTCACAAATTTGTAAGATTATTTTTGACATCTCTGGGAAAGATGACTTGGGGAGGAGAGACCAATTAGGCGGTTATTATCCAGGAAAGGAGTGATGAAGTGATGAATTAGCAGTAATGAGAAGAGCTGGATGTAGAAACTTCAGGAAGGTAGCATCAGCAGGTCTTGGCCACTGACTGGGTGTAGAGAATAAAAGAGATAAAAGAGTCAAAGATAATTGAGATTTTAATCAATGGTGACTGGGAGGGGTGGATGGGAAATGCTATCAGAAGAAGTAGGGAAATCAAGGGGATGCTATTTAGTAAGATGATGTGTTCAGTTTTTGGTAATGTTGAGCTTGCTATAACAGTGATACATCAGATGAAAATGCCCATTACGTAGTTAGAACTCAGGGAACAGACTGAAGTTGGATCATAGATTTGGAGGCTATTGGTATAGAAGTAATAATTGAAGTCATTGGTGTAGATTAAATTTCTAAAAGTGAGTATAGAGAGAGAATAGAAGGGCTGAGAAAAGAGCTTCAAGGGACAGTCTCAGGGGAATGCAAGAAAGACAATGAACCAGCAAAAGACCTCAAAGAAGTAGTTAGACAAGTAAGGTAACTAGGAAAGGACAATGTTTTGGAAGTAAGGGGAAAGAGATTATCCAGGAGGCAGGGGGAATCAACAATGCCAAATGCTATAGACAGGTCAAGAAGGAGAAGGCTGAGAAAAGATTATCAAGTTTGGCCATCTAAAAATTACTTTGGAGAAAGCAGTTTCTATTAATACTAGGGACAGAAGCCAAGTTGCAAGAAGTTGGATGATAAGGAAGTGGAGGCATTGAAAGGAGTTACTCTTTCCAGAATTTTCTCAGTGGGGGAGGAAAAAAGATAAAATAGGACTTTCCCTTGATTCAGTGTTCCTCCCCATAAACAAAACCCAGAGCATTACAGTAAGGACTCTCATATTACTTCCTTAGTTTCCTAGGGAACACGACAATAGAAGCAGAGGGGAGGAAAGAGAGTTAGAGTCAGGAGAAACCTAGGGTTGAATCCTACCTAACACTTACTGGTCGCATAAACATGGGCAAATCACTTAATCGTTATGAGTATCAGGTCCCTCATTTGTAAAATGGGGATAATAATACTGTTAATACTTATACCACAGGGAAGTCATAAGTATTAAATGAAAGAATATATGTAAAACTCTTTGAAAACCTTAATGCATTGAGGTAACATGGCATGGTGTCTTCAGGTGGGGAAGAGAGGGAGGGGAATACATATTTAGTATTTATGCCAGGCACTCTGTGCCACTGTGTACCATGCACTGTGCTAAGCACTTAATTAAAAAAACATTAACTCACTCATCTTCACCAAAAACCTGTGGGATAGGTGCGATTATTATCCCAATCTTACAAGGGAGGAAACTCAGGAAAACAGAAATGTAAATGATGTGTGCAGGTTTACAGTATCTCAGAATGGATTTGAACTCAGACCTCCCTGATACTTGTCTCAGTGCTCAGTGCTCAATCTGCTGTGCCAGCAGCTATTTCAAATTGAACTAAGTGTATTTTTATTACTAATCAGCTGAGGTGTGGCTTACTCAATGTGTTTATCAGATCTGACACTCCTGACTTTTGTTTACAGATTCGAGCTAGCCTTGGAGTCAGTAATGCAAGAGACTCAAGTGTCCTCCCAGACTCTCATCCAACTCTACCTACATATAATGGCTGAGATATTGGGCAAGTCACAACCTCTCAGCATCCCAGGCAACTCCCTAAGACTATGAGCTTCACAGTAGAAGCTGATCTCCAGTAGTAGAGGGAGTTTGTCACTGGGAGTTACCCTATACCAGTGAAATTATAGATCTGTCTGAAATCATTATGTAAATTTCAACTATTATCATCATCATCATCATCATCAGGATGAAATTCCTTTTGCCATGTTAACATACAAGGCAAGGGAACATTTACAAATTAAGCAACAGGATTCCTGACTCTCCCATAATTCCATGGTAAATATGTAAACTAAATTCTAACAAGAACTCCAGGTTATGCATTCATCCAGTTTGCTTAAATCTATCTAGAAAGATATTGACCAATCTACAAAATGTCCATTAGCCCATTATATGTTTTATCAGAACCCCAGAAGTGTCACTGGAGAGTAGTAACTGTAGCTTTCTGTAGAGATGGTGGTAGACCCACACTGGTATGTTTTGGCAGGCTCTCCTTACCATAGAGTCTGTTTCTTTATACTAACCATACAAAGGTCACTATATTTAACTTACATTTTTAGAATAGTCATATTAACTCTATGCTGGTGTGATCTTTGCAAGTGGGGGACAGAGATGCTTCTTCATGTAGTGTAGGTATCATTCATGCAATGATCATTTGTGTAGATTTCCATATTCTCAGCCCAATATACATATTCCCAAATATTATGTATATTCCTGAGTAATATGCATATACCTAACATAGTTGAATCATATTGCTTTAGGTTCTTCTTGCAACAGGAAAATAAGCATAGCATTGACAGTGGCCACTTTTAGAAAGAAAATTTAAAATCAGTGATTACAATGCAAGCTGTTAGTTCAATGCCATCAGCTGAGGGGTGAGGGAGAAGAGAATTCATCATGTGGTGTTTTATGTTATAACTAAGGATATTATTTCTTCTCCAAAATATTTACTCCTTAGGGGACAAATTACTAAAATGATTGTGTCAGCCTGACTTCCTCACAGCTCAAACTTCTGTGGCTCAGTGAAACTAAGAATCGAATAGGTTATCTTTCCTTTTCAGTAAATGATCTTTACAATACCTATCTTCCTTCTGAGATGAGGGAGAGGTAATCTAGATTTTTCACAAATGTAGCTCCCAAGAAATGTCACCACAGTCCAAACTATGCCTTTACTAATTAAATTTTAGAACATGTTCACTGGAAGAAGACAGTATAATACTAAACTGAAATGCAGGTAAGCTGAGGTTCACTCAGGGCACTCAGTAGAATAGCAGCTACTGCCCCAAGTCTCTGACTCTAAGCCTGGTGCATTCTGAGAGTACTACACTCTGATTATGTTCTGGAATCTGTTATCCCCTCTCCAGGACAAGGTTTTCAATTCAATAGGCCAATGTGCCTGCCAGTATTGTCACATAATCAATATCATTTTATTGACAGTGCTTTCAATTATTCTTAACTAGCCAAAGCATTCCCAGCACCATGCCAGGCCTGCTAATAGGAGCATAATAAGGAGATTATATGGTGAGAATGGCCATGTAAGTGACAAACACATGCACCATGAACAAGAGCCATCTGGCACTGCTGATCTCAGCTGTTGGCATGGCTAGCACCCAGTGGGCCCTTAAAGAGCTCTGTGCTCTGCTGAGACATCACCTCTCTCATTGGAGGAAGCCAACGGAAGATTTTGAGCCAGGAATGATCACATGATGTTCATTATTGCCTTCAAGTCACTCTAAGGAAAGGAATTATAGATTATCTTACCTTGCATTGTCGTTCTGGTGGGTTCTGAAAACAGAGGAATGAGCAAGAGGTAGATGAGGTAGACAAATGAAAGCCCATTGTACCGGAAAGCACATGCTACATTTGAAAAGAAGAAAGAGGGAATACCATATTAGTTAAACCATCATAAATAATGGAGAATCCAATAGGATGTGAGGTTAATGGTGCAAGCTATCACCTACTCAAGGTGCATCACTAATTAAATAGTAGTAGCAATGACAAGTATTTGCTGAATTAGGGTTTTATATAGTGAAGAATGTGAAAAAATTGCAACTTGGTATTATTGAAAACATTATGGAATTTCCCCAAAATAGGTTAACCCCATGTCTTCCTACTCAATTCTAAGTCAGTTCGTTTTCACTCTGAATTCCCTTTCCAATAAATGGTTATTCATGGACTAAATAAATGCACTATATAACAATCTGCATTCCCTAATATGGATTTGTTCTTTATCAGATGAGATACTGGTAAGCTCTTAGCACAGTATTTGACACAACACAGTAGATACTTAACAAATGCCTATTCCCTCCCCTATTCCATTTTTCAATCACTTTTTTTCCAGAGAGAGTTGTTGTTATACCATTTTCTTTTCATTGTTGGGGAAATCACCAAGGAAACAACAGTGTTTTGCGTTTTGATAGAATTAGAATGCTCTCATATAAAAAATAAAAGCATTTGGACAACCTCATCATCAAAAGAAAATCTTTACTTTGGATTTTTGTCTTAAATTTTCTGACATAAATGAATGGAATGAATCTTCGATAACTTTAAGTGCCTGTTTTACATACTACTTCATGGCAATATTTGCTGGATATTCAAACAAAGGTATTTCCATGGTCATATCTGTCAAAGAATCTTGTATAATTTTAACGTCTGCATGGGAGACTCCTTATCTGAGTACAATGTTTCTCTTTTTTGTTCTACCACATCAAATGCCTTTGTTTTTACATAGCAATAAAAAATGAAGGGATATATGACATGCTATATATATGCCTGTCAGTAGTTCAGCTATAAGAATGGAGTCTACCTTAAAAGGTCTCATGCAGGATGCATTCCAATCATTTAAAGACCATTTTTATGGAAAAAAAATATAGTGAAAATAAATTCAATTCATATTTATTTATTTTAAATCACTGATATGTACAAAACACTGTACTGGGAATATTCTAACCAATTAGGTCATGACCCCAGGGTGCTTCTATGCTACTGGAATATACAACATATACACATACAAAGAAATACATGGTGGTTGAAGAAGAGAAAGAACTTAGTTCTTCTACGTGGGAAATGGTCAAGGAAAGCATTTAGAAGTGAGCAAGTACTTAAACTGACCCTTGAAGGAAGATATAGATTCTAGAAGAGAGATGAAGAGGGAGTGAATTCCAAACATAGTGGATGGCTCACATGAATACACAGAGCTGGGTTATTTAACTTTACTCACAGGATGGCATCCTGTCAATCATATTTTTAGGGGGTTTCTTTGATCATTTCTATGCCTCTGGAAATTTCCTGTTTAAATCACTTCTTTTTTTGCAAGGGAATTGGGCTTAAATGACTTGCCCAGGGTTACACAGCTAGTAAGTGTTGTATTTGAGGCCAGATTTGAACTCTGATCCTCCTCACTCCATGTTCAGTGCTCTATCCACTGGATCTCCTAGCTGCCCCTATAATTTATCTTTAATGTATATCTTCTACACAGATTTCTTTTTCTTGATTTCTTTGGTTAGATTAAGCCCCTTCTTCCCAACTCCATCTTCTGAATTACCATGAAGTTTAAATGTGGTGGTTTTATCATCATTGCCAATGAAAAGAGATGTTGATAACAACAGCAGGACTATTTCACTTTAGAGTTGTTCTCTCTCTTCCCCCCCCCCGCCCCCCATCAGTTTCAATTTGGAATAATAGTTGAGATGAGTAATTACCTTAGCTGGATCTCAGGTCAAGTTCTTTTCAAAGTCCATCTTCTCAATTATTTTTTCTCTTTTCTATGATAATAGTTTATTTACCATCCTCTATCACCCACCTTCTTGTGTTTTATAAGTGAGTTTTATTTTTTTAAGTTGCTATTTTTCCTGTGGTTTTTGGAATTGTGAGGAAATGTTCTTTGCTTTAGGTTACCTTTGACAAATAGGGATAGTCGCTGTCAATATCTTTACTTTTGTCAATTTCCCAGTTTTGGCACTGACAGTTTATTTGGACTTGTTGTGATTGCAAAACTGCAACTATCCCACCTTTTGAAGTAACTATTAAGAGCTGTCATTGTACGATTTAATTTTCTAAATATGGAACCTGGTCTGTACTGGTAAATGTATTGAAAATAAAGGTACTCCAAGAAGACAGACAGACAGAGACAGACAGACACACACACACACACACACACACTAGCATTTAATAGAATATTGGGAGAGAATGAAAGAAAAACTGTGAGGGACAGAGAACAAAGTGAGAAAAGTAGAGATCCACAGAGTAGGAGAAAAAAGATATAGAAGGAAAGAAAAATAAGAGGGAAGAAAAGGAGTGCTTCTAAAAATTTGTTGTAATGTGAGCTTAATAGTTTTTTTTTTTATTTCAGCCATATGACATTTAAAACATTTTATTCCATTATATTTCCAGTCTTACAATTTTAGATTTTAAAGTTAAATATTCTTGGAGCTATTTTTTTTAGCAAAGTTTATCCTACTTCCTTCACCCCCGCAACAGTAGCATACAAAGCCCCATTAGCTATATCAGGGGATACAATGTCTTAAATGTTGAGAGCTTCCATTTCAGCTCAGGGCATTCTGAGTGATCATAATCTAAATTGGTAATAGCCTGAAGGGTCTTTGTTTATTTTAACAGTTGCCAAAGCAGTAGATATACATTACTTAGAGAGAGCAACTTCATTAATAAGTGATAAAAGAGTCCTGTCAATTCAGTGTTTCTATGTCGAATTTTTAAATATTCTGTACTTGTGCACTCTAGAGAGGTCAATTGCTTTTTGAAGATAAAGCCTCTCAGTGTGCAAAATTCTGGTCCAATTTTCAATTTGCTAGCGGGTATACGAAGAATCTTTATTGAGATACAAGTGAAAAATAACTAAAAAAACACACACAGCTGCTGTTTATTTACAATGATTAAGTGAAAAAATAAACAGATATTTTTAAAAGCTAACACAGATTACTGTTAAGGAACAAAGGATGTCATTGGAATTAGACACAGGAAAGCCCTCCTAAGTCATATATTTCATTGTCTATTTGTGCAGTACTCTTCCCTTCATTATATTGTCTTGTGTTTTACATCCGCTCAAGTCTCAAATGTCCCAAACATACTGGATCTGTTAGAACAGAAGCCAGACAGATACTTCTCTTCCCTTTTCCCTTACCCTCTAACCTTGACACCCACCATAGATATGTGAGGGTCACAGTTCCTGTCCCAAATGTTTCCTTATATTTTTTTTACTATGTAAAGAAAATTTGTTCAAATCAACTTTTCTCACTATTGTTTAAGTTGCCAAGAAATTTCTTTACATATTTATACTTGTCATGTGTCATGTGAAAAATACCTTTAACTTGTTTCAGAAGAATTCAAATATCAAATAGCTGGGAGAGATACAACTGAAAACAGGGCCAGATCTGTGGGACATTTTATCTTACATCAAGTTGTCCAGAGTTCTCGACTGTCTACAAAAATAATAAACCAAATTAAGTTTCATTAATTTTATGTGTGTGGCCTATTTTTTTCCTCTAAGTGTAATGCTTAGTTTATCACAAAATAACTCATTTATAGGACAGCTGTCTATAAATGCAGGCACTAATGGAATAAAAGAATCTGATAGATTCTTATTTTCTATTGTTTTCTGGGGACCCCAAAAATACTCCTGATGGCTTTGGAAAAAGGAATAATAGGGTTTTAAAGCACTGGACCTATAAAGGTTTCCTTTTAAACATATGTTGCCCAATTCTATAAATCTTGATCTTCTTCTGAAATCTAAACAATAATTAGTTTCCTTACAGAGCATATTACCCATGGTTAAAGTTTATAAAAATTCTTCCCCTTCTACCAGTAATCACTTGAAGAGCAAGTATTCCCTGTGCACCTACTATGTGGGAGGAACTACCATAGTTGGTGGGGATACCAAACTAAAAACTAAAAATCCCTGTCCCCAAGGAGATTACATTCTACCAAAAGAAACAACATGTACATATATAAATAAATGCAAAGATAAACTCAAAGTAATTTCAAGGGAAGGGGTGTTGCAGGTGGGGTGTGATGGATGAAGGAGAGAGATTAGGAAAGGCCTCATATAAGCTTGAACCCTTCAGCTTATCTTAGAAGAAACTTTGGGAATCTATTAGTTTCTTTGAATATAATAATTATCCAACTAGCAGTTCTACTTGCAGAATGTTGAACAAAAAAACTACTTATAATTAAGCTACATTTTTACAACTCAGCAAAACTTTGTAATACTTGGGTATTGTCCCCCTTGGTTGAAAAACAGAGAATTTTGAAGAGTAATTAATCTAAGGGCAGTTAGGTGGTGCAAGGGAATAGAGCATGGACCCTGAAGTCAGGAGTTTGACCTCAGAACTTAATCCTGCGTGCCTCCAAAAAAAGAGTAATTAATCCAACAAAGCTCAATTTCTTTCTATTTTCTGTTTATAACAAGCTTATCCAGGCTTTTAATTCCTCTTTTCTAGTCAATGTTTGCTTGAAATTTCCTTTAATATTAAAAAAAAATAACTATCTTGGCCTCTGCTTCACTATATCTTACCCCAAGTATAGCTTCTGTTCTCAAGATAGAACAATTTGACCATGAAAACCTAAGAAAGGTTGGCATGGCCATCATTCTAATCAATTACTTATTTGTTGCTTTTTGATTTTTATGTTTAACAAAGCATTGCTCCTCCCTGAAAAGCCATGAAGAAATGCTGGCTATCACTGATAATGAGGTCTCCTACTACACTTAAATTATCAGTGACAAAACTTTATAAGATTCCTAATTTTGAGATTTAGTTCTCCATGGCAGCATGCCTGAATCTCATTTAATCCAAGGAAAGCCTGCTGTGCTAGGCTTGGGTCACAGAGTTGTAAATAAATGA